AGTAGCAACAACAATAGCTAACACTTATTTAGTGTTTACTATGTGTAATACTATTCTGTTCACTTTATATGTATTATCTCACTCAATCCTGATAACAACCTAGGCAGGTAAATACTGTTATTATCCTCACTTTACAGATGAGAAAACTGAGGTGCAGTGAAATTAGGTAGCTTCTCCAGTCTCTCAGAGGTAGAACAGGAAAAGCAAGGATTCAAACCCAATATGATTCCAGAGCATATGGTTTTAAAACACTGTAGTATAAATCATCCAGCAAATAAACAAATCTTAAAGATATGAATCATGTAACCACTGTAGGGCTGTTGGCCCCACAGGGTCGTGGGGTGTCCCTTATGCTGTGCTGAGTTGCAGGATCTGAGAAGTAAAGAGACAGGACACTGAAGAACTGGTGAAGAGCATCTGGACTCGGGGGGGCCACACCACCTATGAACGGAGACAGGCGAGGCCCTGAATGCCCAGAAGTGTCTGTATTTGTTGGGTACAAGCAGGGGGAAGGGTCGTAAGTGAGGTCATCATCTATAGGCTTAGTGATAGGGCATACATAATCACGTGAGTCACAAGCAAGGGGGCCACCCCATGATGTCACCTGGGCAGAGAGGTGGGCCATGTGCAGTAGGGGGCCGTGCCATGCACAGTAATAGAGGGTCATGTACAGAAAAGGGGTCCACCCCCATTAGGTCACTGAGGCAAGGAGGTGGGCTGTGTGCAACAGGTGTCGTGCGCAATACTTCTTATCTGGGGGCTGGAGACTTCAAAGGCTTTCTAATAGAAGGATACTGTAAGCCAATGCAGTGGGAGCTGACAGACTTGTGCTCTTCTCTTAAGATATTTATGGGAGGATGATTTGAGCTAGCACAGAAGCGAGAAAAGACTGACAGGGTGTACAGCGGCTGTGACTGTTCACACCAGAGGGGTTCTTCTTCCTCAGTTATTTGCAGGATCTCAGGCCTGAGGCCTACTTTCCACAGAAACTGGATGCAAGGTACTACAACTCCTTTATCAGGAGGAGGGGCTCTTGTTCCAAGCCTGCCATACAGCGTCTGCCCTTTCAGGCAGGGACGACACTGCCTGGATCTTTGGTTCTTGCCCTGGTCTGGCTGTTCTCCCACGTACTGCTTCTGTTCTGTGACTGCTCTAGGCATTCCTCCTACTACAAACTACTATGTGGTTATATGGAAGGATTATACAAATCAGCACTAAATGTGTCAGTACAGCTCCGACTACAATACCTATATAATTATATAGAAAGATTATATGGGACTAAATATGATTATATATATAAGCTAGATATAGTAAGCAGTGAGTTATGCTTCAGGCACTAACTGTGCCTGGGGTCTGCACAGTTCTCCTTCCTCAGTGCCCATGGGGGGTGTTACCCACAAACCACAGTTCTGTTTACTAAGATTCAAAACTTAAAATACCAAGGTACATTTAACGCTTCAAGACAAATACTTTTTGTTTGTTTGTTTGTTTGTTTGAATGTCTTACAATGAGCTCATACCACTTTGGCAAAGAAAAAAAGTAAACAGGATACGATTTCAATATTGAAAGCACTAGTTTACTCAGCAGGTAGTAAACTTCTAGAATGTGTTACCCAGAGAGGTTGAACAAAATATAAATAGCTTGAAGAAAGGTTTTGTGCCTCCACTAGATATGTACCTTTTATAAATATCTATAATAGTCGGGAGCATATTCCTAGACAAAGTGGAATTTTGAACAACGTAGGAAAGGACAGGGTGTGCCAGATAGAGGGAGAATCTGCACGGGTAATGGACATGTGAATAAGTAGTGTGTGAAGATATTCATGGAGTTGGGTGGCATATAACAAAGTCAAGACAAGTCTGGGATAGCAGTGCTTTCTCTATTCGATGAACTAGCCTGGGAAATGTAATGAGTCTTCACAAATAACACCTTAGTAGGAAATGCTTTAAAGACCATTATCCCCACCTTTAATAACATCCACATTACTTATCCAAGGTGCATATGGAAAATAGCTCTTTCTTTGGAAAAACAAACAGCACTTCTGGGGTCACTTAGAAATTTAAATGTGCTTTCTCATAAGGTTTGACTTTTGTTCTAGGAGCTCATGAAACCAGATCTACCACTAGCTGTACCTTGCATATTTAGGATTATCTGCAACTTACAGTACTGTGTGTGAGTGGACCCTGGGTACTTATTTGAATGATACAGTCCTTGGTAACTGTGACTATGAATACCTTGGCTTCCCTTCAGGTTGGAAACTACAGAAAAGACAATTAAAATCTCAGTCCCTGAACATAATTTAATCATGTATTTCCAGAAAATGTGAAACTAGGCTAGTTTCTCTTGGACTCACTATATGGGTAAAGAGGTAAAAAAGAAGAGGTGAGAAATGCATCTTAAGAGGGCAAGAGAGAAAACAGAACTCAATATCTGGACATGGGTGACCTCCCTGAAGACCAGGATAATGCATTGGTGGTTTATACAAATACCAGATTCATTACTGAATTTCTCTTTTTTCCTATAACCTCATCATTTTAAAGGAAAATAACCAGATCTCAGGTCTTATAAGAAAATTCTTAATCATTTTCTGCTTCAGATAAATTGATATTAGAAGGGATAATTTTCTTTTTTTTTTTTGAGATGGGAGTTTCGCTCTTGTTGCCCAGGCTGGAGTGCAATGGTGCAATCTTGGCACACAGCAACCTCCGCTTCCTGGGTTCAAGCGATTCTCCTGCCTCAGCCTTCTGAGTAGCTGGAATTACAGGCACCCATGACCACGCCCGGCTAATTTTTTTTTTTGTATTTTTAGTAGAGATGGGGTTTCACTATGATGGCCAGGCTGGTCTTGAAGAAGGGGTAATTTAACAGGGAATCTGAAAAGGCTAATTTCAATTTGATAATTACCTTAGCTAAAACAAAGTTTTAAGATATTTTTTTGGTCAACTATCTTTTCGATCTTATTACCTCCCAGGGGTGGAGAAGGAAGCACTTTCCTGTCAACTACAGAGAGTTATCTCCTGGTTCTTCCTGATTGTGAAGTTTATAAACAGAACTACATTTGTAAGGAATACATTATATGGCACTTGACATCGATCAAGTACTGTGTAAAATTTTGGCTTAGAGGTGAAGAAATTGGAGAAGGCCCAGAAAAAAATAATGACTATGACTAAAGGTTTAGAAAATGAGATCTAGGACAAAAATTATATAAGTAAAGTTGAGGAAATATGATGAATCTTAGATGTCTTCTACTTTTTTTTGGTTAGAGAAAGGGTCTCGCTCTGTCACTCAGGCTGTAGTGTAGTGGCATAATCATGACTCACTGCAGCCTTGAACTCCTGGGATCAAGCAATCCTCCTTCTGTAGCTTCCCAAGTAGCTAGGACTAGCTAGGACTACAAGCATGTGCTACTATGCCCAGCCAATGAGATGTTTTCTTTATTTTCTTTATTTGTTTCCTCCAGCTTTGAGGAAGCTCAAGCATATCAGAAAATGTTTGCAATCAAAAGGTTGTCAAAATGTGACAGTACACGCAAGTCCATAGGGATTTTTGAACCCAATTTAAAATATTGAAAGGACTCTCTGTAGAGATCCTTTCAAATAGGGATACCCTCCCACTTCTTTTCCGTAATCCATTCATTTGTCATTCAACAAGCATTTATTGAATGCCCACCACATGACAGTTAAACTTTCAGGTACAGAGATATCTCTGTCCTCTCAGAGCTTACAGTCCAGTGGGAAAAGACAGACGTAAACAGTAACACAACAAACATAATAAATAGGTAAATTGTATAGTATGTTAGAAGGTGATATAAAAAGTAGAATAGAATAAGGGGATCAGGAATGGGAATTTTGGACATTTAAAGGAGGTGGTCGGGATGGGAGGCATCTCTGATTGGGTTAAAGGAAAAGAATGGTGATCATACTTTGCATTTGCTTTGTGACAGGCAGTTTACAAAACATTGCCACTCAGTCAGGTGTCACTGGAGGAACTGGTGCAGAATTTGGGGAAAAAAGGATGAATTCCATTTTGGCCATATTACGTTTGAAATGCCACAGGAAATAAACGCCTAGCAGGTAGTCAGAAATGCAGCCATGGAGCTAAGGAGAGATATTTGTGATAGAGATGTTGATTTGGAATCACTGTAATATCTACGCCAGCTGAAGCGGTGGGAATGAATAGGTGAGCTCGCCAGGGGAGAGCAGAGTGATGAGGTCAAGGGGAGAAGCTCACTATTAAATTTTCGGAGATGAAGACAAAGAAAAATTGGCAGATGAGTATACATTTTACCCAGATCAGAGATAGACACAAGACAAGACTGTGTTATTAGCACTTTAAAATTTCCTCTTTCATTTCTTCCTTAATGTACGTTGGTTCTTTTCATGACAAAACACTCCCATCACCCCACACACCTCTTTTTGCGCGAATCTTTCTCCAGGACCTTAAAAGGGTTTATGGAGCACTTCCCGCTGGCCAAGTATTTGGGGCTCCAAATCCTGGGTTTTTGTCCTTGACCCTCCAACTGCCTCCTCGTTTTAACCTTTGCCTCCTTCTGCAGTGCCAGTTCCCACAGAGCATAAGCACAGGAAAGGCCTACAGAAAACAAAAGGCACAGTTTGAAGAAAAATCCAAACCAACCAACCCACAAAACACAACTGCCCAGGGTCTATATTCTGCACCTACTGCCTTTCCCCACCGCCCCAGCCCCGCCCCTCGGTCCCACCTCC